CCTCCCCTATTTCAAAGTAAGATAATGATCCCAGGAGCTGTTACTTTATTTCCTAGGCAGAAACAGAGCTGATGCATAGCTCTGTACACAGGTACGTGTATAGGAACAGTGCGGTAACTATCTGGTGGATCAGAAAAGTGTAGGAGAGTGAAAACTTAGAGGGTTGGAGTCACATATGATAGAAGGGGAAAAATGGAGCTCAGGGCTCTGGAAGAGCAGTGGTGCGTAATATCAAGAAGAAAGGGGGCTGAAATACGCTCTGTGGAACTACTTGTTTTCTTCCTCCGCAACGGGAGGTATTAAGGAGTTACTGAAATAGTAAACGGGAAGAATTAATGTGGAAATGATGCCATCATCTTCTCCTACTCTTTTAAGGCAAGTCTTTGCGAATTCAGGAGTGGGAGGCGATGGGTTGAATAAACCCGTTCTGAAACGTACTCTGGCACCTCTGTGCTCCCACTCCGGTTCTCTCCCAGTACATCAGCTACAGTCACTCAGTGGCAAGTAGGCTAATATGATAATGCTCCTTTATTGAAGAGAATTAAAAGCAAGAAATGGTTTGGGAAGTGCGTACGTTTGAGGACCTCTCGTTCCCTAGACCTCAAGGAGTGTACAGTGGTGTAACTTGCCTGAATTCCCAGGGCTCTCTATCTGTGGGTCTTTGATTGTTAAAGGGTTTACTTGAGAGCTGTTGTAAAAGGAAGTAGAAGCCAAAATGTTCCTCAAATTAAATGTAGAAAACAAGGATTAACATCTCTCTATCCTGTCATCAAACCACAGATCTCCTTTTAGAGAAGCCAGTGTAGCTGAAATATTGGAAAATACCTTTCTTGATCGTAGCCTGTTTGCAGTCTTTGATTTGTGATGAATTGCTGGTGGAGCTTTTGCAGTCGTCTTGAGTGCTGGTGCTGCCCAGAACACTTGAGCAGTGTGGCAAATCCTCTGGTCTTACTTAGTTTAGAAGTATTACAGCGTGAATTCAGTTTTTGCATTTCCAAATTTGCTAATTTGTTGCTGTGCGATTTTATTTTTTTTCTTCTGATTTTATTTCTTTGTTAGACAATGGATCTTTGTCGTGGCTCCTAATCACTAACCTGAAAATTTTCCAAAAGGCTCAGAGAAAATGTAAAGCAACTGCCTGCTTCATTTCTGTCTCTTGAACCAATTAACTAAAGTAATAGACTTTTCTCCAAAGTTGCTTTTTATTATCTTCCTCTGCTAAAAGAGTGTGTGCTTATCAGAGCTAGAAACAATTAGAAAAGTGCAGATAGGTTGCTGCAAACTGAGATTGTAATATCAAACTGCTGTTTGGTGCCATCACGTAGTGGTACTAATTTGGTAATTCTATAAAACTTAATTTTCACGATTAAGAGATGATGTGTGGAGGGAAGTTAACGAGATGAAGACAGATGGAGGAACCTAAGAAGACGATCAGTGCTGAAGCTGAAGCCTAGGTTTGTGTTAATGGGAAGTTGCAGCGATGGGGTGAATGGTGGCCGGAGGACAGCAGGTGACAGCGGTGGCTGGTAACGTCACGGGCAAGTAGCCCGACTTCCTGCGGAGCTGCTTAGAAATGCCGGTTGCAGGAAAGGGGTAAATTGCTGGGTGATTTGGAGGTGGGTAATTCGAAAAAGTCCCTTAGCATGGCCACCTGATGGTGGTCTCCAGACTGTCGGTAATTAAGGCAAGCAAGAAGTCTCTTTTAATTGATGAGGGAACCTTTTCAGCCTTCTCACGGTGAGGTTGCTCTTACTCTGCATGCCAAGCTAAAATGCCACTTGGTTAATGCTTCCTTCCCAGGCGTGGTGGGCCCAGTGAGGAGCTTTAGAGATGCTGTTTGACCCTGCGCGTGTGCTTGGAGGGCAGCTGGAATTTCCCCTTGGTGCTCTCCTGTTGGCAAAGGCCGGGGTTTTGTCTGATTAAATATTTAGACGGGTGGTGTGACATGCCGTCCCTAGATGCCACTTTACTGGAGCAAATGTTTATGCCGCTTGGTTTCAGACAGGCGTTAGCTTCCGAGCTGTTCTTTTGGTGGCCCTTTGCTCCTCCACCGGCGCGCACAATATGTCAGCGCCGAGCAAAACTCCTCTTTGCTGTCAACCGATGTGAAACCAGTCGTTTTCCTTCTGCTGAGCAATTCAAACGCAGTCACGTGTTGTTTCCTCGCCCATGGGTTGTAGCTGTGGATATTGCTCAGTTGGAACTGTTTGCAGATGTCCAAGGCTTGGGCAAAGCAGATGTTTCTCAAGTGTCTACTTTGATTGATGAGTGCAAAAGTGTAGAAAACTCAAGTGGAAGTGGTATCACACTGGAATTGCTGTACAGAGCCGGAAAAGCCACTGCTCTTGGGATATAGATGCTACAGTTGGGTGGCAACTTGTTGAAATGCAAAAGCTGCTGTGTTTTAGGAGACTAAACCAGCTGTGAAATCGAGAAGAAACAAAATGAGGAATTAGCCATACTGTGTCTCAAGGAGGTGGGAAAGGAATTTGCAGGAGAACTGAGCTTAAGTTGTTCCTTTGAATGGTTTTTATCCGCAGTGATTGCCAAAATTGAGATGGGAGCTTATTCCCAGTACGCAATGAGAAGCCGAACTCTGAAATATGCTTTTCCCGGTAACATCTGCAAGAATTAACAGCGTGACTTGTCTCGATGGATGAAAACATGAGCAGATCGAGTTTTGCAAACTGTCCTTCAGCAAATGATGCTGCTTGGAAATACTGGTTTAAGCTAATGTCCTATCTGATAGCCTTTAATTTATAATTCATTCATGCATTTAAGTGCATCCAGGTTCCTCCTTCCAATTCATGCTTTCTTATTTAGATAGCAAAAAGAATTCAACTCGGGTATTAGTGACAAAGCTTCTGGTTCAATTAGATTCTATGAAATTAAGGACTTTCATTTCAGTTAATAATGCCTTTTTGGAGAAGTCTAGACCTTTGCAGTTTCCCACGCTTGCATCTCCTGCTTGGCGTTGGGGTGCCCGAGCCTGGTCATGAACAGCAGTGAATGTAAATACCTCCGGTGACAAGTGCTGTGAAGTGGCATCTGCCTGAAGGACATTTGGGATTTGGCTGCTTTGCTAGCCTTAAAAAAAAAAACACACCAAAAAACCCCCAACCCAAAAGCACTGCTGAAGGGCTGTTTCTCTCTGAGCTGGGCTTTCTTGTGAGTGTTTTGTTAGCGAGAATTGTTCCAGCGAGTCTTTTGGAGTGCCCTGAGAATTTTGACAAAATGGCTGCTTTCCTCGGGTTTCGTTCCTGTCTGGGTATCGAGAGGCTTGCTGCGCTCGGCTCGAGGCGATCTTCCTCGGCATCGACATGTAAAATTGAATAGGTGGCTGTTGCAAATTAGATCTGCTGTTTCGGCTTTCATCAGGCCTCGTTAGGGGAGAACGGAGTGTTTGAACATGTTCGCTTTGCCGGCTGTTTCTGGCTGCTTGACTTGTTGGAGTTTGTCTCCATAAACAGAGAATGCCCTTTGTAAAAGCACGCTTCTCTCTGCTTGCAGCTTCGAGCCTAAGTAGTAATCCTGTCTGAGCAGCAGCATAGCCTGTTCATAACTAATCTTTGTGGCGTAAGAGTCCTAGACGATAATCCTGTGCGCCAAACGAGAAGCCCACCCAGGTTCAGAACAGAAGCTGTAATATACCGGTGCTATATTTAAATACTCTGTTAATTTTTACAGAGAGTGAGTGTCCAGAGCAGTTGCTGAGGGCTCGTACAGCAGCAGCAGGGTTGAGAGAGAGCTGTTGAAACTGGGGTTGAAACATCGAATTATTTTTGTGTCATTTTAACCCCACGTGACTGAGTTCCAGGATGTAGATGCTCTGTGGTGGTGAACCTCTTGTCATGATAGATGCTGTGATTTACTCCTGCAAAGCTACTCCCGAATAATTATTCTCCAGTGCAGGGAGAAACCTGTCCATTGTCTTTAGAAAGAAAAGTGAAAGACCACTGCTTGGGTTTGGCAGTACTGGTTTTTGGGTTTTCTGCCTCATCCTGTGTAGTGGATTTGCTGTCCTGACTGTTTATGGGGCTCCACATGGGCTGGATCAGGGATCTGGTCTAACCTATCAAAAGCTGCTTTTGTTCTTTTGAAGTGGGGAAAAGTGTCTTAATTTGTCTTTAAACAAGCTGTACTGCTCTTAATAAGAGTAAGAACACACTCTGCGGGGGCAGAGGGGTGCCACTTCTTATACTATAAACCACCAGACTAGTTCTCGGGGCTTGGATTTTGACTCCAGGGCTTTTTTTTGGTGAACGTTTCATTGGTGTCACTGCCGAGAGATGCTGTCCTGCTTGTCCCCTCCTGCCCTCTCCCTTGTCCTAATGCAGCCGTTTGTGTGGTCAGGCAATCAGATTCAGTGAAGAAACAACTTAAAGGAGCAGGGGGCAGATTAATTTCTGAGCCAGTCTTTTGCAGGGTAAGGTGACCGAGTGGGCGCAGGACGTGCAGGCGCGTGGTTGAGGATAAGGATGGGGTGGGATTGCTGCTTTGGGTGGCCGTGTTGACTCTTGGCAGCTTCAAGTTGAGGCCGTAGCCCCCGGGTTCAGAAAATCGCATTGCTCGTTTATGTCCTACTTTTCAACAGCTTCAGAGCGTCCATCGGAAATTCGCCCCGAGGCAAACTTCCATTTTGGTGTCAAATGGCAAACGCACACTCACTGTTGCCTTGTGCATGGAAACAGTCTGAAACCGAGCCTGGAGAGACTGGATTTAAGAAGCTGAAACGTGTTTCTGGCCCACAGTGTAACAGAAGCGGTGTGGATCTTTGTGTATCTTGGCTCATAACCGTCCTGTTTTAATTTTTTGTATCTGTTGGGTAAAACTCATTTCTAGTACGGTTTAGTTACCATGTGTTGTCTGCACAGATTACATGATGGGACACACCGGTTTCTCCATTTTCTTACTCAAAACTCTTGCCTGGTGTCCTCATAATGGTATCCACCTTGGTCGAGTAGTTATTTATTGTTATTTTTTCCTTTCTTTTTTCTAGAATCCGGCAACTATCACTCGAATACTGCTTAGCCATTTCAACTGGGATAAAGAGAAGCTGATGGAGAGGTAAGCAGCTGCGTTTCGCTTCAGACCTGTGAGAAATGCTCATTATTAACGTGAGGATGGATGAACACACAGTATGTGCCAGGAGGATCTCTTACTGGTGATCATGGTCTTTGCTGATCTTAGCAAGGGTTGAGACATACCTTGTCGTTTGGTACTTGGTCACGCAGAGTGGGAGAGCAACAGATTTTTCAGTCTGTTTGATAGTTTTGGAATTTAAATATTTCTACTATCCCAGGATAATAGATTTAGAACACTGTTAGCCCCTTTGTGTAACATTTTCAGCTAGTGGTGGTACCCAGGTACCTCTTGTTTGGCCTAGATTTTTTTTTTTTTGCTGAAGCTATTATGGGTTTTTTTTACAGCTTTCTAGTCTTTGCTTTATTTTCCTGAGATTGACCTCTTTTAGTTAATGTTGAAAGGATGAAAGCTTCATGTTACAAATATAGTCACATTGAGGCTATTTAACTCTGGCTTCATGTGTTAAACATTCTGATTTAGCTCATTCTCTGTAACATGTGTCTGTTCACTTTTTCACTTTGTATTTGAGTTTCTTGTGCTGGTTTTTTTTTGGTGAGGCTAAAGTTCATTCCCCTTGGCTGCCTCCATCTCACTTTGAGGTGCCTCTGTGTAGGTGTACTAAAATCTCGTAAGATTGCCAGCACTTCAAAAAAAATTGAGGTGTGGGTTTTTTTCACAGGGTGCTGTCAACCACTTCTATGTGAAGTATTATTAAGGCTTTTACAGTTTCCAACCAAACCACTTTAAGTCTGTGTAAATATTTACAAAGTCCACAGGTAGACATTTATTCTTGGTACGTGTTCATTAAAATACTTCTCTTAATTCTATAGGATTACCCCTGTGAGTAGTATAATGGGTGCACCTCGTTTGTGCAGACCTGTTGCACACTAGTCACCGTTCTGGTGCCGATTGACGTCCTGTTGTATTAGAATTACTTAAACACTGACTACTTTATTTTTTTGTTCTTAATTGCCCTTCTTGCAGACACCAAGCAAAAGCGCTTATGCGTGGTCTTCTTTCATGTCAGGCGAATCTGTGTTCTGCGGCAGCGTTGGAGGTTTAAATATGTTGATTTTTCTTCCTGGGGGATTCTGAAACAGTTGAGCTCGTATAAATTTGGCCTCTTTTCCTCCTAATAACCATTAGGATGACTTCCCAGGAAATTCCTGTTGGTGCCTGCAGCCCGGGTGGGTTTAATGCCTGCTGAGATGTAATGTTTGGATGCAGTTTTTGATTTCACACCAAGTCAGAACTTGAACTCCTTTGCCTAATGGTGTGTTTTTGCAGCACCTAGCCAGTGTGTGTTTTACCTTAGTTCATGGTGAGTCAGCATGACCTAACAGGCAGCCTTATCAAACTTTGCCTGTAGTAAAGCAGATAAATGAAGCAGCTTCTTTTTTGGTAAGCGGTGAGGACTGAGTTCCTGAGATGAGTATTTCCATGTTTTGGAATGTGCAAACCTCTTCAGAGCTTTTTTTTTTTTTTGATATTGTTACACACTTTTTTAATAAGCAGGTTGTTACTGTCTGTACTAGCTTTGTCAGGGAATAGTTTCACGATGTTATTAAGAGGGGCAGATCTCTTGCAGGTATTTGTTCTGCTTGCAATGAAGTAAGAGCTGCAATTGAAAAACTGCCCTATCCTGCTGACGAAGCGCTAATTTCACTGTGTCTGAAAGCAGAATTGGCATTTTTGAGGTAGATTTGTTTGTGGTGTGGAGGTAGGTAGTGGAGGAAGTACTCGAGTTCAGCTTCTGAACATGCTTTGGAGAACGAAGTTGTTAATGTTTTTTTCCTGTGTCTCACGAGCTTAGTTAGTAGAGACAGGAGACTAATGGTTACAGATTGACCAGGAGACCTCAGAAATAAGTGAAGGAAGAGCTTTAGCTTATAACTATTTTTTTTTTTTAAATCACCTTCCAATTTTACTCTGGCTGAGAGCATTTGTCCCTCCTGAGGGGAGGTTTGGGGATGAACCTCCTTGTGATGAAGAGACTTAAAACGCAGAACTCTTGCTTTATTTTTTAAAAAGAATAGTATTTCAGAAAGTAACCAAAGGCCCAATTTAGTCTCTGGAGGTGCAGACAGAGAGATCTTGCAATCCCCTTGTAGGTGCTTATCATGGTGGCCCCATGT